ATAAGAAAATCATTTTCTGTTTAATTACTGTTTAAAATCTGTTTTTCCGTTAACCAGCTGTCGCACCCCTACGAACGACAACCCTCAGAAGTCGAAACTTGTGCGAGCTAAGGATTAACGAGGTCTTACCTTTTAACGTGTGATTCCTAACACGGGATGGACGATAGCACGTGAAGATCGATCGTTCAGACAAGGGCTTGAACCACCGACCAACACGGCAATCAATTCGAGTGAGTGAACAAATCACCCACGCCGAACCGCTTGGCTACTATATCAGTTACTTCGACTATACCCTTCCGAAGCGGAATTAAAATGCTATCTCTGTTATTTTTGTATGAACACAGTATATCTTATACTATGCATATGTTGATTCCTCATGTATGATCATGAATTTAATCTCATATATTCTGAATTCTGACAATTCTCCTTGAAATATATTCAAGAAACACTTCATTGTGGAATTTTCACTAAACACTTTCACAAGAATTCATCACGCTATATTCATTTCGCTATACAATAGCTTCTTCAAGCGTGTCTAAACACGTGTTGCAATTTTGTGAAACTGTTAAGTGTTTCTTGAATCCGTTATAACTTTTTTTTGAGTATCAGCCCCGATTCCATTACATATATTCTCAAAACATGTTTGATTTCAGTTATACCATTCCTATATTCAGAAAAGGCCGCAAGAAAACATTGGATGTGGAAGACCTGTATAATCCTCTTGATAATGATAGAAGTACGCTGTTAGGAAATCGACTGGAGGTGTAAGTAGTTTTCAGAATACTTTTGAAATGCTGAGTACTCATATAATTTTACAAATTCAAGTATATTCTGAGAAGATGATGTTACCTCAAGCGGACACACCAAGAAGCAGGGATGGCCACTAACACCTTTGGCCTTTGGTGAGTTGCGACACCACTTACCCGAGCAACTGGTGCAAAACCGGACCGGCAGCCCAGGCGCACCCGGGAAGGAGAACTTTATTCTCCCTCCGGTGCCGCCCGTGGGTCCACAAGGCTGTCCACCCGGTGGACCTAGTAATAAAGGGAGGGTCCCCTCACAATCGACCCATTCTGAGGGGTCAGAGGCAAGGTGGTAGGGCAAGGTGGTAGATTTGCCTACCGACGACAACCCTGGCAACGACAACGGACGCTTTGAGTGGACACATGAGCTGAGAGATAGCCTTATGCATTGCTTCGAGAGTAGCGCGAAGAGGGTACATGGCGAGATTTCATGCTCTGTGGTGTGAAACACATCCGGAGCATGCCGAAAAACCATAGGGATTACCTATCCTATCTCCGGCGGCAGTACTATATAGCTCCTCCCCAGCCTGCTAACGAAGTGGTGAAAATAACAATTCTACCACCCGTTGTAACGGCTGGAGAGGGGACTCGCATTATGCCACCAATGGAGTCAATCAGAACAAGCAGGGCGCTCCACAGAATTAAGCCCCTGAAGTCACAAGAACTAGCTTGTTTGGATCCGGAGGTTAATAGTGTTCTGACAGAAGAGGCTGACATCTGGTAAATCAACACCGCCGTGAATAGCGTCGTCCAATCGCTTTCTGAATCGGAAGGACGAATCCGGCCTTGCGATTGTGAAGATTGAACGACATGTACACAAGATGGAGGCTAAGATCACGTCGGCGAGACAACACGCGTCTCGTTTCCAATGTGTGATAGATTACAGAGCGGCCAACAAGCCTCTCACGCCCGCAGTGCGGCGAATAGCGTGAATAGCCGCGTATCCATAACACTTTAAGTCAAGGCGTGCTGCTGACCACCTAAAAACAGCACTGCCTTGATAGGATACGAATGCTAGTGGCTGCTAAGAAGTCACTAGTGAGGCGAGCGAGAAGTATCGCGGAAAATCTTAGGTTCCGCGAGAAACCTTCTCGTTTATTCCAGGAGCCTCCGCGTGTTGTGGATAATTCGCCGACTGCTGATCAGGTGGAATCCTTCTGAAAAGATATCGATGAACACCCGCAGCCACTCAACTCAGACAGTCCAGCCCTAGCGCAATTCGAAGCATTCAACAGAGACGTTCGACAGCCTGAGCTAAATGAACTGCGCAACACGATCACCCCGGATGACGTTCGAAGAGCCCTTGTAGGTTCCTAGAACTTTGCTGCTCCCGACCAAGATGGGCTGAAAAATTATTGGTGGCAAAAACTACCAAGCACCCGCCGCCATTGGGCCAGAGTTTTCAACTCATGGCTGGGGGCGGACCTTTCTCATCCACAAAAGCGAAGATTTGTCGATTCCTAAGAATTACAGACCGATAACATGCGTGAATTCGTGTTATAAGTTGTTTACAAGCATGGCCTTTTGAGTTTGTAGTGTCTACATGACAGAATGGTACTGGATATGGCCTGTAAAAACATCAGGAGTTCGGATTCCCTTCTCTACATGTTCCGTGACCATGAGAGAGCAGGAATTGGAGCATTTCTCTTTAGGGCAGCTGCCCGAGCAGCTGATGAACTCGGTTTTTTTTTCGACACTGAACGAGGTGACCACAACTCTGTCACCGAGTTGGAACCCGTTCAGCAAAAAGCTCATATAAAAGCCGCAGAGACCACCTCACTTCTGTGTAAACAAAAGGTTAAGCCAATGCATGGAGTCTTCTTCAATAACATTGAAGACCTTGGCTTATCAAAGCGCCTGACTTTTGCTTTCCTCAGGTTGAGTGGACTGAAATCGGAAACTGAGGGGTTCATCATAGCTTGCCAGGATGGTGTCTTCAACACCTTAGTCTACCACAGTTGCGTGATGGGTATTAAGATCCTGACACAAGGTGCAGAGTGCTATATTACCATCTACGGCAATCTTACGGTATTGATGAGACACCGGTGTTGCCCTACGCTCCGGAGGATACTGAATCCGTTGCAGGAAACGAGAAGTGCCAAATTCATTGGAACTATACGTTCTCCACCCTCAGGCTCATACAAGATAATAAGCCTAATGTAGTCCTTCTCGAGTACCAGAGCAAGACGATATTGGTCGTGGAGTTTTCAGCTCCTCGTCCGAAAAGAGGAGGGAAAACGGATAAAATATTGAAATTCTCTGTTCGAACTCCACAGACTCTATCCAGACCACTTTATCAAGATAGATGTTCTGATTATTGGAGTCCTTGGGGGAATGATGCCCTCTATACTCTTGAATTTCAAAATCATACCGGCTTGCCGCACTAAGGCAGAAATCTTAGCCGCACAGATGTAGAAGGCTGTCATTCTTGGCTCCCTGCGCTTGCTCAAGGCACATGATTCTCGGACCCAATTATCACTTACCCCACGGTTGTGGGAAGTGGTCGTTGATTGATAATGCTGGCGCGCCCTCCTGAATGTATCAGAGCAGCGAGGAATAGGGCCTGACCAGCACATACAACGGTAAATGATGATAATAAAGCAGGGCTAACCACCCGGTAGACCCATAACTTGGTTCCTAGTAATCGAGAAAGGGGCCCCCACAAACGACACGCGCGGAGGGGTCAGAGGCAAGGTGAAGGGGCCCATAACGATGATTTGCCTACCGATGACAACACTAGCAATTACAACGAACGCTTTGAGTGGACGCATGAGCTAAGAGATAGTATTGCTACGAAGTAATGAGCCTGCGCGAGAATGCATGCTCTAAGGGTGCGATAGGGAAAGTCATATCAAATGTGAGGATGTTAAAATGTGTCCCCTTGTATCAGAAGTTACTCATAGTGGCTCGTTTTAAATGTAATACACTGCATATACAGGCTGATTCACGGTGGATGGCACATTAGACGTTTCTGGTGAAGCAGACAACGGATCACTTTGAAAATTTAATGGAGGGCATATTCGGACATTCTCTAGCCAACTAAAATATTTTCGACAATGCGGTGTTGCCGCTTCTATTAGAAAGCAGTAGCAACTTTGATTTTTCAAATGGAA